TCCCTGCTTTATGCCTTACCTGATTTTGTGATTACAGAGTTATAAAACAAGGTTATTTCTGTTGTTCTGTCTCCTAAAGGATCTTGAATGGTTTTGCTGTATGGAAGAGAAATCTTTTTTTTTAATTGAAAGACGAGATTTTGTTCTACCAAATCAAATCCTTTTTTAGTAATCAGCAATTAACACAATGAAATCTGATGCTTTCTATATCTTTCAGTTACTTTAGAAATAGTAAAGATGAGACCTGTTGTTGAATAAGCTTGGTTTTTTTCCCCCTCCTAATAAAAGATTTTGTATAGATCAAAGCATGAGCATATAGATCAGTAGTTACTGACTTTTTTGCTCTTTGGGGGTAGTTATTAATAAACTCTGAGATTTTTCCATGCCTTTGATATTTTCCATGTTTCAGATACCTTGTACATTAGTCCTTAACTTCCTCATGATTGTACTGACTCCCACACAGATCTCCTCTCTCTCTCTATGCGCACGTGTGTGTTCCACTCTGACCATTTTTCCTGTTTTTGTTCTTTTCAGTGCTGTTTCTATTTCTATTTATATGCACATCTATGACTGTAATGTTAAGGTCCAAGTGTAGTTGTTCAACTGTTATTGACAGAGAAAATTGTTACAATGATTGTCACAAATATTTTCCATTTTTTTCTGTTTATAGTCTTCCTTCCATTTTCATCTTTAAATTCCCTTGAGATGACTTTGAATATCTTGCCAAGCTGTCTTTGAGCTAGTTTTACTTTCTACTTCTCTCTGCTTTATGAGATGATACTGCTTACAGCTATCTTTCATCCTTCTTTGTAAGATTTTAGAAACAACATTTTACAGCCTTTGTTGCCTTTGGTAGCTACCTTTCTATCTTTGGCAAGTAAGTCAGATACCTGTCAACCAAGGCATTTTCTGGGATATTTGGTTGCTTACCTTGTTGCAGCAACTAACTTTAAAGTCAGTGTTGATGTCATTTCAGTTGTCCATATCTCAATTGTTATTTTCAATTATTTATTTAAATAGTTCAGGGTTAAGTTGTTTCACTTGTACTCCACATCTTTTTCCCCCCACATCATTATCCTCTTTTCTCGCACTCTATTTCTGCTCCTAACTCCATCAAGCTGATAAGTTGACTATACTCAGACATCTGACTAAAAGATAATTTTCATAACAATAAAAATGTTTTCTGGTTTGTTGAACTATAATGTATTTCATTTATATGCAGTTTTTTTGGTGTTCCTTTTTTTTTTCAAAGAAAGTATTCATGCTAAAGAGATATGAGGTTTCTACATAATCTACAAGTCTTTCGTTTTTCTCATTCCTTTCTCCCCCCTCCCCCAAAATGCTTTTCCACATATTTCTCCCCATCCTCACTTTTTCCCACCTTTGTATTGAGGTTACCAAGTAGCAGACTGTATCTTTATTTAATTTGGAAGGTCTTACGAAGTTCTTCATAAGATTTCTTTAGTAAGTCATATGTAGCAACAAATGTCGGTTGATAAGCTGCAAAAGATTTCAGAGGTGGTCTTTTTTGTGAGACTATTTATCTCAACTATGGTAGAGGATGACCAAATATCTCATAAGATCATGTTACTTGTTGCCGTAGGGAATATGCTAAAATCCACTTTGCCAACTCCTTTATTTACCTCTCCAAAGAGTTCTGTGAGTCATGTTTCTATTTAGCTATGATTTCCTACTTTCTTCTGGTTTCATTCATAGCATGAATATTCAAGATTCATATGATTCAACTGTTCCAGCAATATATCTAATTGTTGGTCATTGGACAAGAACCTTACATTTGGAATTTTTGTTGTTCAGTCATTTCAATTGTGTCTGACTCTTTGTGACTCCACTGGGGATTTTCTTGGCAAAGATACTAGAGCAGTTTGTCATTTCCTTCACCAGCTCATTTTACAGGTAAAGAAACTGAGACAAACAGGGTTAAGTGACTTGCCCAGGGTGACACAGCTGGTAAGTGTCTGAGGCTGAATATGAACTCAGGTTGTCCTGATTTCCAGTCTGGCACTTTCCAGCTAGCACCCACATTTAGAATAGCAATTGTCAAATTAGGCTTATTAAGGATATAAAAACTGACCATTAGCATCCTCTCAGCCCTTTCCCACTACTCTGCCACCATCACTACAGAAATCGAAGTGGGCCATACAAGACCAAGATTATTTTTTATTTTCCTTTGTTTCACAGGCCTCCATGTGAGGGTCATGAGGCTATTGCTCCTCACCCCCCCCCCACACACACACTCCCATCATATTGTACATATGCCCTTTACAGCAGAGGAAAAGGTCTGGAAGGTTCTACCATGCTGGAAAGTCTTCAAAATTCCCCTGAGCATCTGACCAAGTCTGTTTTCTGAGACACAAACTACCTGTGTGAAAACATAGCACCAATAGACTGGTCACCTGTTGATGATTCTTTTTATGCTATGACAAGCCATGAAAGAAAACCATGTTGACTTAAAATGAGCTTAAAATGTATTTCCAGTAGGAATGTGGATAGCTAACATGTGTAAAGCCTATTTGTCACAAAGTGATTGACATACAATATCTATTTTGACATCACAAAAACATAAGCAGCATTCATTAAATATTTACTACATGCTAAACTCTGTGTTAGTCACCAAGGATATAAAGGTTGAAATGAAACAGTACCTGCCCTCAAGGAGCTTACTACAGGGAGAGATAATGTGTGTGGGCACACACAAGCGGGTATGTGTATTTATTTGCAAAATAAATGCAAGGTGATTTTGGTTAGAGAGGAAGCAGATGATGGAGGGGAAGGGACTCAGAAATACCTGATGTAAGATGTGACATTTGATCTGAGCATTAAAGGAAACAAAAGATTCTATGAGATAGAAGTAAGAAATGGGCACATCAAGGACATGAAGGATGGCCTGTACAAAGACTCAGATATAGGAGATAGAATGTTCAATATGAAGAATAACAAAAGGCTGGTATGGCTGAACCATGCAAAAAGGGGAATAATGTATAATGTATGATAAAGATGTATAATGAATCATAATCATAAGCCTGGAAAGGTAGGTTGGAACCAACTTCTGAAGGGCTGCAAATGCCAGAGGCATTCATATTTAATCTTAGACATCATCGGGTATTACTAGAGTTTATTGACTCTAGTTCATTGAAGGCAGCAAGGTGGTACAATGGATATAGTGCCAGGCCTGGAGTCAGGAAGACATTGTGAGTTCAAATCTGGCCTCAGAAACTTAACTGTGTGACACTGGCAAGTCACTTACCCCTGTTTGTCTTACTTTCCTCATCTACCAAATGAGCTGGAGAAGGAAATGGCAAACCACTCCCAGTATCTTTGCCAAGAAAACCCCAAATGGGGTCAGGAAGAGTCAGGCACAACTGAAAACCACTGAACAGTAACAACAGAGTTTATTGAGCAAAGAAGTGATGTGGTCAGAAGTATCCTTTGGGAACAACGATTTGGCCACTTTGTGGAGTACATATTGGGGAAGTTGGAGGCAGAAAGACAAATTATGAGACCATAGCAACAATCCAGGCAAAGAGTAATGAGGCCTTAAATTAGGGTGGTGACCATAGAAGTGGAAAAAAGAGGATGGATATAAGAAATGTTGTAAAGGTAGAAATTACCAGACTTAATAACCAGTATGTGTGGAGTGAGAGAGAATGAGGTGAGGCAGCTTGACAAAGTGGACACTGGACAGGGAGCCAGAAGACCAAGGTTCAAATTCTGTCTCTTACACTCACTAGCTCTATGACCATCGACAAGTCTCAAGCCTCTTGGAGCCACAATTTCTCCATCTGTAAAAAGTTAAAGGGCTGGACAAAATAGTCCTTAAAGGCCCTCCCACCTCTTAATTTATGATACTAAGATCCTATACTTCCAAAGTTGAAAGCCTGGATGACGGGAAGGATGATGGTGCCCTTGACAACAATTAAAAAATGTTAAAAATCATAGACGTCATTGAAATATTAGAGCTGGAAGAGATTTCAGGATCTTAGAGATTGTTCAGCTACCTAATGCTACAACTAAGCTAAGTGGGGCCCAGAGAGAAGTGACTTTTCTTTTCTGAGATCACACAAAAAGTAAGTAGTAGGAGAGCCAAGACTAAAGGCCAGGTCTCCTGATGGGGAAATGTTCTTTCCACTACACCAGATGGCTTGCATTTTTCATGGTGCCTAAAAGGGAGAGACTGGCTGAGTACTACTGCAGCACTTGACCTGCTTCTCTCCCTACAGTTTGGGCCTGCAGAGTAATTCCACTGGAGATGTGATATGATTTTATATAAATAAATCCTTCACATTTGAAGGCCTCATATGCCCAGGAGGTCCTCACATTTGAAACAAATGCATACTGTCTATCTGAACACCACATAATAAGGAAGCTGAAAAATTATTCAGCTGAATTGTCCAGACGTCCTTTATGCCCAATGGATGATGGAAAGTACCTCAACATATCCACAGGGCTTGTTCTGAGATAATGATTGGGATAAATTCACCTGTTCTCCTGCTTCAAGTATAAGTTTCAGATAGATAGAGCTCAGTTGGTATTAAACTCCAGTTTGGACAGTGCAATGTCTTACAGCAAAGTTGAATTTCATGCCTGGAACCTTTAAGTGATATCATTACAGTGCATTCTAAACCTTTTTCCCCCTTGAGACATAAGGTAAGACTGGAATTTTAGAGTAAGTGAGGCCTAAAAGAACATCCATTCCAATTCCCTGTTTTGTAGATAAGGAAACTGAGGTCCAAAGACCTTCCCAAGGGCATAAAAGTAGTTAGAGGCAAAGTAAAGATTGTAATTCAGAATTTACCCTCTTTACACCAAGTACACATTTTCAAAGTCCAGATAGTCTATGAATTGTCAGTTTTAGTCACTCATTTCTTAGCGTGTACTTGCTGGAGGCATGAGGTCCAGGGGAAAAAATAGTTCATGTTGTTTACTTTTAAAATATGACATAGTTTTCTCAATGTAATTGTTACAATTTTACTGTTTTAGATATAAAAGAAGAAACAAAATTGTACAGAACTGCAAAATGAAAGGAATGAAGAGTATCCAACTGGGGCTGGTAATACTTTTCCTTTATTAATTACTGCATTAATAATAACTTCTATTCCTAAAGTGTTTTAATGTTTACAAAGCACTTTCCCCCAACAATCTTGTCAGGAAGGCCATGGAAGCATTATTGTCCCCATCTATCTCAAGTTATTTGATCTTTCAATTAATTTGATTCAAGAAGAATTTATCAAGCCTTCAATGTGCCAGGCACTATAGAAGGTGCTGGGGATACAAAGACAAAAACAAAACAGTCTCTGCCTTCAGGGAGCTTACACTCTACTAGAACATACATTTCTGCCATTTCATCTTGACTCTCTCTTGCCACATCTTGTATAGGAAGCAGGCAAACTCTAGTATCTTTTGCCTTTGATAACACTTCCAAATTCAACCTATTGTCATTAAATGTGATTGACTATGATGCTGACTGAACAAAAATAACAAATATTGACTGAAGGTCCACAGCCACTATTCTAGAAGAATTTTACATATACTTCACCTTCTTTTTTAAGCCAGCCTAAATTATTTCACAGAGAAAGAGAATTGAAGTCCTTTACCAAGGTCACCTGGCTGTTATCAGTAGAGAATCAAGATTGAAAAAGATCATTTTATTTCATTCTTAAGAGGTTTTTGGTGACTTCAGATAATTCAGTGAGTAGAGGGAACCGAAGGTAGATTGTAGAGAGTTTATATCAAGGAAAATTTCTGAACAATGCATTGTAACTTCCCTATTTCTTAACCTTCCTCCTCCCACATCTGCAGGCATTAACAAGCCGATACTCAAGATCTCAGGATCCTATACCTGTTTCACCTCCAAGACTTGTCTTTCTGTCAACTTGTGACATGGTAGAGGCGGGATCCATTGCTAAATATAATGTGTGAAGACCTGCTTGTTCCCTATTAATGCCCTCATTGAGGATACTTTTAAATAAAAGAAAATTTGAAAAAAAAATGTGAAAATTATTACAACAAGCTACTTTCTTCCTCAAGGATAGTGGACCCACCACACTTGGGACCCTAATATCACAGCCTCTGAGGGGATTATAGAAGAAACAGAAATTATACTAAAGAATCCACAGACAGCAAAAGCAGCCAAATTGGATTAAGCACACACAGAAGAAACTTTTGCCAGAAGCTATGCAAATGTAGAGATATTGAGAGATCTACAGGGTATTCCAAAAGTTTCAGTACAGTCTAAAGAGTTTTTAATCTAAAACTGTACTAAGACTTTTTGTTGTTGTTCAGTTATTTCAGCTTCATCTGACTCTTTGTCACCCCATTTGGGGTTTTCTTGGCAAAGACACTGGAATTGTTTGCCATTTCCTTCTCCAGCTCATTTTATAAATGGGGAAACTGAGGCAAACAGGGTTAAGTGACTTACCCAGGGTCACATAGCCGGTAAATGTCTGAGGTCAGTTTTGAACTCGTGAAGATGCGTCTTCCTGATTCCAAACCCAGAGCTCTATCCACTGTGCCACCTAGTTGTCCTCTAAGACATATATGTATTTGTTTGTTTGTTTGTCTGTCTACCTATTTATAAGGTATCTAAAAAAAGGGAAGATATCAAAGGCCTGTACAAAGTCTCAATCTTATTGATTTCCAAAATAGATTATAAAGAAAGCATCAACAACTACTAACCTATGTCCCTACTTTCCCATCTATCTTTATGAGGGTTTTCTATACATAAATTGAAGACTCTAGGATTACAAAAGGCCCTGCTCTCAAAGAGCTCACATGCATATGGAAGGATACAACATGTAAACAGATAAGTATATATCTGATAATTTGCAAAGGAGAGAGATAGTGCTAAAAATCCAAGGGGATTAGGAAAGATTTCCCAAAGGACATAATGCATGAGTTGAGCCTTAAAGGAAGCTAGAGGTGGAGGTGGAGGTGAAGCCTTTCTTGGTCCTTCCAATCAGAAGTTATCTCTTCCTCATATGAAACCCCATAGAATTTTGCTTATTGCCTCTCTTTGGGCACTTCAAGAATGCCTCTTAGATTATCATTCTTGTCTAATGTCTCATTTATTCCACTAAATTGTAAGCTCCTTGAGGGCAGATATCATTATATACTTATCCTTATATCCCCTTGTAAGAATTGAATTGAAGGTGTGGAAATGAAACAAAACTGCATTTAGTTTAAATTAATTTATTAAATCTCATACTGGCCTCTCCTCTTGGGCTAAAGATAGAATAGGCAACACCATCTAGAAAAAAAAATTGTAGAAATTATTTGCTAGGATTTCCTTTTCTTCTGAAAGTTTCCTCTGCAATAATTGCTGTCCAGAACATGATGGGGTCTGCCCCAAGGTGCCAGGAACAGGAAAGCGTGAGAGTGGAGAATTAGAGTACTTACTAAATTTCTTAGATTGCCTTGATCCCTTAAACAGCCTCAGGGGGCCAAATACAATTAAGCCACATTAATTAAAAAAGCTGAAGTACAGAAAAGGGCAACCAGCAGGAGTAACACTAGAACAGCATCAAATAGTTTGAAAATAAACATAAAAATAGCAGTGATCATTTCCCATCATGCACTAGAGTTTAGTAAATTGGGGGATTGGCTGGACTACTGGAAGATGAAACTTCCAGAATGTCAGACCTGGAGGCAAAATGAGGAAGAGTAGAAGTTGCCAGAAACAATCTTCAATTATCATAGACAGTACATACACATGCACATGTGTGTATCTGTCTCACATAGTCTTGCTTTGGTCTCAAAGCCTGAATAGATCAAACGTTCTCCACCACTGCTCCTTCTGGATTTTGCTCCCTAAATAACACCTCTCCAGCACCTTTAGCCTCTCTTTAATTGTCCCTCTCCAGCTAACAACCTCTCTACTTTTCACTACTCAGCTTCCCAAACAAGCAATACCCAATCATTGGCACCTCTTCCTCACCATATACTCTCTCTTCAATGCCCTGAAACTCTCTACAATCTAGCTTCTGTTCCCTCCACTCACTGAATTATCTGAAGTCACCAAAAATCTCTTAAAAATGAAATAAAATGATCTTTCTCAGTCTTGATTCTCTACCAATAACAGCCGGGTGACCTTGGTAAGGGACTTCAATTCTCTTTCTCTGTAAAATGATTTAGACAGGCTTAAAAGATCACCTTGAGCTCTGATAGCCTGTGGAATAGATCTTACTGTCACTCCCTGTACAAAAGACTTCAGAGGCTTCCCCTTGCCTCTACAATAAAATACAGACTCTTTACCCTGGCATTCAAAATCTAGTGCCAACCCACTTTTCAAGCCTTATTTCATATTACACCTCCCATGCCCCCCAACACGAACTCTCTGTTCCAGCCAAATTGGACATTCCACCTCTCACATTGGCACAGGTAATCCCCCATATCTAAAATGTATCGACTCCTCATGTTCTACTTCTCAGGATTCTATTCTTCCTTCAAGGCTTAGTTCCAGAGAAGCCTTTCTTGATCTACCCACTTACCAGTTCTCTCATCCTCCTAAATGACCTTATATTATACTTATTTGGGTACCTATGGTATCTAGCTGGCAAAATATAAGTTTCTCAAGGACAGGAACTGGTTTGTTTTCCTCTTCTTGTTCCTAGCACTGATACAATGCCTTGAACCTAATAGCCATCGACTTGTTGCCTATGTCCTTAACACACGTATTTCCTGTGACACTGATTATCCTTCCAATGCCCTTGAGATGCATTGTGCAAACATCCCCCATGTAAAGTTGTGGCTGACCAATGCCATCTCAGCATAACTACACACTGTAGCCAAGGCCCGCCCCAATTCAATGAAGACCTGTTGTGATGTCCTTCTACCAGCCTCTTTGATTTGTTTCTGGGGGAGCTTGGCATCTCTTTTCTCTCTTAAGTCCAGTGAGAGAGCAGGTGGTAAGGAGAAGGGCCTTAGGGGCTTCCCTTCTGAAACCATATGGGGCCCTGTTGGCCTTTTAGTTTCTTCTTTTCTAGGTGAAAGAAGTTTCAAAGTTTGGAATCCAGATGAGGTCCCACAGCTAGCACAGCAGACGCCCAAAGGAGCAAGGGGCAACTGGAATACCAGACCAGAAAAAAATGATTTATCTGGCAATCATTCCCCAACTAGTAATGAAAATATTGGGACCAATGGGAGTGTAAGAACTGAGTTAAGTTTTGAGATCAAGGTAGCAACCGGTTGGCACAGTATGCTAGGCCTGGAATCTGGAAGGCCTGAGTTCAAATCCTACCTCATATTTTACTAGCTGTTTGACTGTGGGCAAGTCACTTAACCTCTGTCTGTCTCAATTTCCTCAACTATAAAGTGAGGACAATAATAGGACCTGCCTCACAGAGTTGTTGTGGGGACCAAATACAGTAAAATTTGTAGCTTAGCACAGTGTTTGACACTTAATAAATCCTTATTTCTTTCTTTCATTCCAAGGAAGTGCAGAGAAGAGTATGCCTCAGAGGTATTTGGAGGAAATGTTCCTATGGCTTTTTTTTTCCTGCTATATGGGTGAAGGAGAGAGGGAAAGAACAGAGAAAGGAAAAGAGAAAAAAATTATAAGAATTGTATCTCTCCATGAGGAGGAGTTGTTGATAAGTATCAAGGCCTTTATACAAATGATTCACTGATAATATCTTTATCAGTAGTCATTCCACTCCTAAAAAGGAAACTTAAAAGTTGCTTGCTTTGCCTAGCACGTAAAGCAAAGAGAGAGAAAAGACCTAGAAGTTTTTAAAACCTACAGGCCAACTTCTACAAGTTTAAATGATCTAATTTATTGACCCAGCCCTACTCCTTCAGTCTCTTGAATAAACTGGAATCCAGAAAATGTTGACTTCTGAAGCTCCTGGCTCCAGCTCTCATCATTTAGCATCCACTAAATATTAGTACTTTTTCAACTCCTTTTTCCCTCTGGAGAGATAAATCATACCTTCCCCAGCTCTAGAATTATAGATTTCGTTGAAAAATAAAATGTTCAAACTCAGGGAGTAATCTTCTTCTCTAGCTGAGGAGGAAGAGATGAGCCCTTCTCCCCAACTCCCTTTGAAGATGTCACTGAATTCTGAGAAATGATTATTAATAATGGATTATTTGGGGAGATCCAGAATTCTCCCCATTTTTCTAAAGTCCTGATTTCAAGGCTCAGCCTCTGAAGGACAAGACTGAAGTTAGCAGATAGTATTAACATTCTCTTTAATCTAAGTATTGCTACCCCACCTAACCTTACAAGGAATTTAATCTAAGGTGAAACTCATGCCCCATTGTGATCTGCACTGGCTTTGGTTGGGGATATAGATCCCTTGTCTAGATTTCCTCAAGACTGGGGTGATTTGGAAGTAAATGACATGATCAAAGTTACATCCCCTCTACCCAGAGTCCCATATTAAAATAGGTCCACCTTTCATTGTAATATCCATCCTCTCATTAATCATTAACCAATCAGAGTTGACTGCCACCCTCCAGGACACCCACTCTTCCAAGGGCATTTAAACTGTCAGCCCACCACCATGATTCCTCTTTGATATTTGAGAGAGTCACTGACTGACCCATTTTATTGGTAGTATGCTAGCATTATTAATAAAATGCTTAACTACCCAGAAATTATGTTTCTCAAACCTTTTATATGTCACAATTCTTTAGGCACTTGAATCAGTTTCTGAAAACATATTGGAGGTCCTACTTTTTTTTTTGCCTCTCTTCTTCCAGCTATCTCTCCTCTCTTACCCTCCCCACTTCTTCTATACTCTCCATGCTCAACTATCTACATGAAATTCCATTCTCTCCTAGCCATAGAAGAGCTACAAACCTCAGGATCACATGAATGAATAAGGATTTCCAGTTTCCACATCTCCTGCCTGGCCTATCTCATACCACTCAGAATGGCATAGTTCCCTATTATATTCTCAGATCTCTGTACAGACCAATTTTCAGCCTTTATAGTCTTAATTTTGGCTGCCTAAGAATGTCTCTCCCATTTATAAAATTGTTGCTATGGAAACAACTGGCCCCCTATGATGACTTTGATTTTCCTCAAGTTGTGTTTTTATGGAAACAACACCTTTTGGGGGCTCTCTTTATTCTTTGCATTCTTCAGAGGTCTCTTCACAGAGCCTGATAGCATACATGAAGTCTCAATGAATATTGGTAAATTTGATTTTTGTTTTTCATTACAAAGGATGCTTGTCATCTGGTTACAGATTTGAACAGGTTTGTATCATAGGCTAATAACCATATGTAACTGTCATTAGCACTTTGAAACTGTATCATAGGGACTTCAATAGATAATTATTTTGCTTAAAATCTGTCTAATTGTTCTACAGTCGCAGTTCTCAAACTATGTTCTGAACCTCAGGATACCAAAACACAATGTAAGGAGTTCTATGATGAGAAGTGTTGTGATGGAGGAAGAACACTCATAGCAAACCCATCTGCTTTGCCTTCTCTGTTTTCAGCCCCTGGTGAGAATTATCAGAGACTGGTCAAAATCAGTCATGAGATAGAAGTTGGCTTTTTGTTGTCCTGAAATCAACCATCAAACACACACACACAAAAAGACCTGCTTGAAGCACAATAGAGTAGTTGTCTCTCCTCATCTAGTACATATAAAATAATCAGGTCCATTTATTTTCTTAGCATTTGGAAGTTGAGGTATAGAGGTAGAAGGCTGAGTTACTATCAGTTTTTGTGCCAATACCCATTATTCACAATTGGGAAAATTGAGGAACCTGTAGGCACAGAAAAGTAGTTATAACCATGCCACTGATGAGAAAACAGACATCGATGAACCTAGTTTCGGCACCAATAGCAGCAGAAATGCAAATTTGAAAATGGTTATCACTACTATGCATTCAATTCTCATGATCCTGAAACAGTACAATTTAGGTTACCACACACTGAAAATGACAATAATAATAATCCATGATTCAGGAAATTTACAAAGGCATTTATTTCTAAACAAAACAGATCAAATTTTAAAATGAAACACTTGAATTTTTTAACCACAAAAGTGTAGAATGAAAATAATCACTCCAAAGCATGGCTAATATAAAAAAGAAAATGACAATTATCATAAACACATTGCAAGGTGACATACTACATCCATTCGTGTTCCCAATTATAAAGTATCCAATGAGAGCAAATAATCATATCTTCACCAAGTAGTTTATAATATTACCAGTATTAGAATAAATTTGTTATGAATATATAATGTTTAATAAGCAACTTTGTTTTATTTGGTACCACTAGTAGAAGATATCTGTGCTAAGCTGAATTTTTTATAGTAATCTGCCAAAGTTTTATTTAAAGTGGAGGGTTCTGCCAGTGAAAAAAAGTTTGAGAACTAATACTCACTGTGTTCCACTGAAGCAAGTTTATAATGTAATCTGCATATGCACTTTTCCAATATTGGGTGGCAGTTCAAAGAATTGTCACTACATCCCCCTGACATGATTCTTACAAGACACTGACTAGAGTTTGTTTTACTGGCCTATCTGTTGAGAGATAAATATTTTCTAGAAAGATGTTAAAAGACGTAGTTAATGTAGTAGAGTGTGATAACTATAACCAAAAGGTGTACAAATTTATTTTCCCCAAAACTTGCCTTTCTTTCTTACTCTCTCTCTCTGTCTCTCTCTCATACACACACACACACACACACACACACACACACACACACACACACACACACCCCAAGCCAGATGGAATAGTGGATAGAGTGCCCAGCGTTGAGTCAGCAAGACCTGAGTTCAAATCCCACCTGAGATACGTACTAGCTGTGTCACCTTGGGCAAGTCACTTAACCCTGTTTCCTTCAATTTCCTCATCTATAAAAATGAACTAGAGAGGGAGATAACAAGCCACTCTAGTATCTTTGCCAAGAAAATCCCAATGAGGTCACAAAGAGTTGGACGCAACTGAAACTACTGAAAAATAACAATTACAAAACTACATAGGGAAAAATTAACTTACTGACAAACTCTTAGGCATCTATTGAGTTCTGTTGGTTAAGGCATAGTACTAAATGATTACAAAATTTTAAGTTTACCCTTTATACCTATCCAACCAGCTACATTGTAATCCTTACTATTTTTATGCCCAGTGTCTAGTACACAGCTGGACTCATAGCTGGTACTTTATAAATGCTTTTTGATTGATGAGTCACTTTTATGTAACATTTTCCTAACAATAAGCCTTTGAACCTAGGTAGTGCAAGTATTATTTTTCCCATTTCATTGATGAGGACACCAAAGCACATAGTAAATTATCCACAATCACACAGCTGGTAGAGTTGAGATTTGAATTCAGATTGTCTGATACAAAGGTAAGCAATCTTTCTACTATACTTTATTGCCTTCTGCACATCGAGAGCCAGACCTTCTAACCAATGGTTACAAGGAAGACACGGTAAAAAAAAAAAAAACCACATGTGAATAGCTCATAGCAAACCTGTTACTACTTCTAGAAAATCCTCAAAATCATAACCCTTGCTGATAGCGGATTATTGGGGCCATTTTTGTGATCTCAGTATAAAACCAATGCAGCCCATAGGTAAAGACTAAAGAAAGGAGGGACAACTAGGTGGCACAGTGGAGAGAGCACCAGGCCTGAAGTCAGGAAGACTCTTCTTCCCAAATTCAAATCTGGCCTCGGACACTTACCAGCTGTGTGACTCTGGGTAAGTCACTTAACCCTGTTTGCCTCAGTTTCCCCATCTGTAAAATGAGCTGGAGAAGGAAATGTCAAACTATTCCAGTATCTTTACCAAGAAACCCCAAATGGGGTCACAAAGAGTCAGACATGACTGGAAAATGACTAAACAACAAAGAAGGGAAAGATGCTAGAAGCCAGTGATGGCTATGCCCTTCCAACATCCCCTGACATTAAAATTTTCATAGCAGTTTTATCCACTCCCACTTCCTTTTATTTATTTATTTTTGGGGGGTGAGACGATTGGAGTTAAGTGACTTGCCCATGGTCACACAGCTAGTAAGTGTCAAGTATCTGAGGCTGAATTTGAACTCAGGTCCTACTGACTACAAGGCCAGAGACCTATGCACTGCACCACCTAGCTGCCCCTCACTTCCTTTTATTTAACAAGTATTTTTGCCCAGGTTGACAAAACTCATCCTGAAAAACACATGTTAACCTTCCTTCTAAATAATAAATCTAATAATCTTCACATCCAAACCTATCCACATATATATAGTACAATTAACCAGGTCTTCCCTTCCCTACCCCTTTATTCCCCCAACAATCCTACTGTGTGATAGGTAATACAGGTCTCCTTATCATTGTTTACACATGAGAAATCTAAAGCTCATGGTGGGTGAATAAATGACTTGCCCAAGGTCAGGTGGCTAATAAGTGTTCATGCTGGTGTGCTAATGCTAGAATTCAGATGTTTTGCACGCCCTCCTCACTGCCACCTTCTAGAAATTCCTAGGCATAGTTCAAATATCCCTTTCTACATGAAGCCTTTCCTGAAGCCACTAGTACCTCCCTTCCTATGTTATCTTGGACCTATTTGTGTAAATCTAAAGAAATATGTGTTGTCTCAACCTGATAGACTATAAGATCCTTCAGGGAAAGGGATGTTTCACTTGTGTCTTTATATCCACAAAACTTTGCAGAGTGTTTGACACAGAGTAGGTGCTTAATACGTTTTTACTGATTGATTTTTACTCCAAACCCAGTGCTCTTTTCACTGTGTCACAACATTCTCAAGTTGACCTCATAGTTTCAGATGAGGGTTTTTAGATCAGAAGAAGATCCCTGGTTCCTTTGTTCTTTGTTCAGAATAAGAAAAAAACATCCAGAAAACAAAACAAAACAAAGCAAAAATAGGTGCTTATGAATCTGAGAAAACATACCACTCAGATCAAGCCAGAAAGAGCTAATGAAGAAAGATGCCTCTCTCATTGGTAGAGACGATTTAGAAAACATTTACCCACAAGTTAACAGCCTGGCTTATTTTGTTTTCTCATTCCCAGGTTGCTTCCTAGGATATGAAAGTCCTCTGGAATCTGACTACATGAGGCTGCTGATCATCTTTTGTTTCCTGCTTCATGGCGACTTTTCAACCATAGCAACAGCTTGAGCAGGAAAGCCATCACCCTCTCCAGCAGTATGGGCTTCCCAGAGGACATAGTTGCTCAATCAAACCAAACCTCTGTATAAAACATGAGCATGCACTGTGCACTGAAGAGCATCTTTGGCCTTTGAAAATCAGGTAAGCGTCTGCCTAATGCCTTGGAAGCCTGGTATATCAGCAACTACATGGCATGGCCTTGATCTTTCCTCTACTTTTGAAGAATGCAATGACTGTGGGAGGTGGTAGATTGCTATTTAAAAGCTTCCAAGTGCAACCGTTTGCTGCAATGATTGTATCCCAGTCTCCTCATTGATATGCTGTTCAAGAATCAAAGGAGGCCTTGATTACCAGGTGGCCTGTTGGAAGTCATCAATGTTTAATCTGGGGGTTCTAACGGCCACATCTGTTTTTACTGATAACTGATTCTTCCTGGGGAATGGTTTCTGTTGGTTTATATTTCATAACTTTCCATAAAAGATGAGTGGGTAGTCTCATCATTTAGTAGAGCCCAAATCTGCCCTGCAAAAATGACACATTACCAAAGTGATAGCAGCTACCACTCTCAAGATTTGTAGAGAAATACAAGCATTCAAAGGGCTCTTTTCTGCCCATCTGGTTTCCATTTGGATTGTTATATTTGTCCCTGAAACTGGGTAAATGTTTTCTAAATCATTTGCCCCGGTGAGGGGGTACATATTTCTCTGTTAGCTCCTTATGGTCTGATACATCACACAGAGTGCTATGTTGTCCAACAGTCTTAAGCACCTGGTTTTTTGTGCATTTGGTTTTTGTTTCAGCTTTTGGCTCAGAGCTAGGAAAGATGTCCTTCTCCAGCCTGACTAGGCCACATTGCTTATGTCAGCCTGAGCCCAGAAACTACTGTGTGCAAGTGAAATGCATGTTTCTCATGATAGCATGTCAAGGTATGAGAGAGGGGAAAGAATGTTGGCTCTGGAGTCAGAAGACCTAGTTTTAGATACAACCTCAGATCCTCATATCTTAACCTTAACATAAGTCAGTCACTTAACTTACCTAAGGTTAAGGTTAAGGCAGGTAGGTGCTAAGCCTGGAGTCAGGAAGACCTGAGTTGAAATCCACCTTAACCACTTATTAGCTTTGTGACCCTGGGCAAGTCATTTAAACTCTTTCTGCTTCAGTTTCTTCATCTATAAAATGAGAATAATGGTATCATCTCTCTCCCAGAGCTATTGTGATAATAAAATGAGGCGATATTTGTAGAGCATTGTATTTGTTGTTCAATCATTTCAGTCATGTCTGACTCTTTGTGACCCCCATTTGGAGTTTTCTTGGCAAAGATACTGAAGCGGTTTGCCATTTCCTTCTTCAGCTCATTTTACAGATGAGGAAACTGAGGCAAACAGGGTTAAGTCCAAGGTCACATAGTGTCTGAGGCTGGATTTGAACTCATGAAGATGAGTCTGCATGACTTCAGGTCCAGTGTTCTATCTACTGTGCCACCTAGCTGCCCAAGCATTATATTACTGCTAGCTATTATTATTACTTAACCTCCTTGGGCCCCCAGTCTCCTCATCTGCGAAATGAGCAGCTGGAGTAAATGGCCTAAGGACCCCTTCCAGCTCTAAATCCATGATTCTCCTTTTCTTTCTTTAAAAATTGTTTTAATTTTTCCATTAGAAAGAATTTTTCCCTCCCCTGAAAAAGAGGGAAAATAGAACCCTTTTGATAAATAAGCATAGTCAAATGAAACAAATTTCCATATTGGCCATATCCAAAATTGTGTGTCCCATTCTGCATGTTAGCCCCTCATCTCTCTGTCATGAGACACAACAACTCTGATCAATAAGATGATCCCCTGTGTATGATTCCAGGAGACCAGTGATGAAGAACCCTATCTACTTCATAATCCTTCTTTTCTTACCACTCCATCACCTCCCTAACAAGAACTCCTACTCCAGGAAAATGGGAAGCCCTAGGGTAAGAAAGGCATACCATGAAAGAATCTGCCTTGATGAAATCCAGGGAATACCTGACTTCCCCAAGGGAAACTCAAATCATTTCTGTTTCACCAAGGGGAATGCTGGGCAGCAGACTTCATCTCCAGGACTAAGAAATCAGACTAAAGCATTGGCTGTTTTAAGATAAAGAAGGCTCTCCATAGATACTACACACACACACACACACATACACACACACACACAGCCTCTAGTTAAAAGAAGCCTATTTATCCCTACTAAAGCAATAGGGCAACACTTGTTTTGAGGTCACTTGTGGTGCCAAGGCTTTGCACTTTTTGCATTGTTGAAAAAGAACCCTGCATCCTGAGCCCACTCGGTATCATCTTCCTAAGCCCTGCTTCTTGCCTTAAGGAGTCTAATGAACAAATTTTAATTAAAACAGCCATACCTCAAGTCTGGAGCCCTGCCAGTGGCCAGTAAAATCTAGACCAATTGTTACCTAGACAATCACAAATATGTCTATGGTCAATCAGGTTAAAGCCCTGTTTGCAAACCTCATCCACTAGTCCAGATCCCCAGTTCTGTAACTAGAACTAGATGACGAGAGTTTTGCCCTGTAAGGCCAAAATTTAGGTGGAGCTGACAGTGCTTGCAGTCCTCTTACAACATTTCAACAATTGAATTCTGCAGCTAGTTTATGAATTAATTAGCTAATGTAGGAAGCTACCAGATTGAGGGTTGCTAGTCATATCCCATCCCACCACTCCCCCTTTTTAACCTGTGGTGGCTTCCCTAACGGTATTTGAGGGTATCTTCTTTGCAATTTGCCGCAGATACATCTTGCATTACTTGTTTCAGGTGTAAAGATTGCTAGTCATAGTTGCAGCAGAGCCCTAAATAGCACAAAATGATGGAGGTTTTGCCCCAGGATAATTCTCACATCTGAGCCAGTAAGCATTTCCTCCCTTAGAGGATAGGGTTCTACACATCTTCCCTGAAATACCCCTGCCCCTCACCTTACAGTCATCCTGAGGCTCAGGGCACAACTACCCCCCAAGAATGTTTTGGGGGATAGGCGGACCCTCCTTGATGGATTCTTCTCTGCATAGACATGCCTAAAAGCTCTCTGTTTCCCCGACTGTGCCCCCTTTTACCCCCAACACGTATCTTCCCATTCCTCCACTACAAAGAAATGTACCCAGGAATAATTTTGTCTAATTATGTACTTGACCAAATTTCTTATTGTATCACTTACCTTGCATAAAGGCAATCTCAGTGCATCAGAACTCATAGAAATCACAAATCAGTTATTCACTTTTTATTTGTAGCATCTGATGACTGACTTTATAGAATTCTAAATTCCCCTCAGCCACAAACCCATACCACTGACTGTCACTGTTGCACTTTTAAAAGTTGCTTCTCTTACATTTTTATATTTCCTTACCTTCCTTCAACCCAGGTCAGCCTCTTTGGTTCTTACAAGCACTTTGTTGTTCATCCTTCATTCTCATTCTTAAAGAAAACTAATGATGCCTGTTTTGACTAGTGTGTGAATTGGATTTAAGGGAGGCAGAGCTGAGCAAAGTCAAGAGCTTCTTTAATGCTTCCAAAGGAGAAAAAAAAAGAAAAAACCCTCAGCTAGCCACTTACCAGTTCCATGGGTAAGTCACCTTAGGTAAGTCACTCAACCCCTCTGGGCCTCAGTTTCCTCATATGTAAAATGACAGAAGATCACCTCTGTAATTCCTTCCAACTGACTCAGATGGTATGATTCTATGAAACAGGGTCTGAGCAGCCAAAAAGAATGACATGTTCTCCTGCTGTCAAGTACTGACCTAAAAGAGGCTAGCAGAAAAGTCTCATATAAAGATAAGTTTTGACATTGCTATTTTCCATCTAAGCTCTTATCTAAACATGAAGATAATCTTGCATATTCTGCATTCCTATTTAGTAATTTATTGAGCATTAGTATTAATAATTTATTAGAATTCATAGTTTCTTTTCAATTAATACATCGGAATTGATATAATGATGTCAGAAGATGGAGGTCTAGTGTTATGCCTCAGGGATCTGTCCTTGTACCTGTGCTGTTCATCCTTGCTAATGATTTGGATGAAGGTATAGATGGCCTGCATGTCAAATTTGCAGACAGCATGAACAAAGACCTAAAAAACTGCAGTCCCAAAAGACTTCAATATGTTAAAACGACTGGGAAAATCTTACAAGATTAGATTTAATGGGCAGAAATGTAAAGCTTTATGCATGGGTTCAAAAAATCAATAGTAAAAGGACAAGATAAAAGAGATAGAAACAGTTCATGTATCTTTTAATTAAGTAACCTGATGATTTTCTACTCACTTTGATTGAACTAGTTTCATAGAATTTGAACATTATGTTTTGGACATCAGTTTTTCCCCTGAAAATTAATTCTATAACAGCATAGGATTTTGAAGTGGAAAGACTTTAGAAGTGATCAAAGTCCAATACCTACTCTAACTCTTATTTCATAGAAAAGGAAACTGAGACCTAAAGAGTCCAAGTAATTTGCCCAAAGTTATTCAAATAGTAAGTAGCCAAGCTAGGATTCAAATTCATGTTGTCTGACTCCAAATTCACCAGATGTCATGGTGACTCACTACAACTTTTTTCTAGAAGTGAAATTTTCACAATATGTAAAGGAGAGTTAGCTTTTTAGGGATAAAACACAAAAGAACTCAGAACTGATTTTTCCCACTAGTGTCCTAGACATATTTTGTCCTTCGGGAGTTTCCTTCTTCTAACCAGGAATTTAGAACACGAAAAATATATATATTCTCTGAGGGGAGGAGAATATTTCTAAATTGAGAGCTAATTCATAATTCTAATGTTGCTTTTTTTTCCTTCTGGAATAGAAATGAGAGTTAATTGCACAAGAACACTTTTGAAAGACCCAGCAAGTTGAAAAAAAGGAGACAGATGCTTCTTTTTTCTTTATTTTTGAAAAGAGGATTTGTCCATTTAGTTACTCTATTTGTGGTCTGTTTCATGAGTTGCCATGGCCAAAAAAAGTCACTACTTTGTGGACAATCTTTTGGTAATGATGGTGGAATAGTGGATAGCACAAAGATGGGACTTGGAATCAAGAGATCTAGGAATGAATCCTGAATCAGACACTAACTGCATGATCACCAGCAAGTCACTTGATAAGATCAGAGAATCTCT